TGTCATCCATCCGATTCAGGACAAATACTAACTTCGATTTCTGTATTGGTATCTAGCATAACATATCTTATCGCATAGCTAAGTGTTTGATACTCATTGCTTTCTTGTACTTCTCTGATACAAGATGATTAGGATGTGTTCGGTTCGACTTTATGGTTGGGGATAAAAGATATTGGAAAATTCACTTTCTAGGAACAAGAAATATTAGAGAAATTTTGTTTTTATTTGCCTGATAATTTTCTTTTTTTTTTTAGATATTTGTGTTTCAGACCTCACGCTTCATTAAATATATTTTAAAATTACTCACTCATATAATACTTTGCTTAAATTTGTCTGAATAATAATATTTAAACTTGAAGAATAACGTTACTACTGAAATTTTTCACATTCTTAACCAGGCCAAATTTTGCTCATAAAAATCAGCAAAAATGTATTTTACTCACTTGCATGGCATCGTGTCTTAAGGCACATTACTGGAACTTCACATACCGGAAATTTTTTTTTTAAAAAAAAGCTAAAACTTTGCTAATTTCAATTTCTTATTTTTTAATAAATTTATATTGATCTTATGATTAAAATTAATTTTTTAGAATGTTGTACATTACAAACGATTGAATTACCTGACAGCCACTACCTGTACATTTATATGCAATTATTATAATTTGATTTGAATTAATGTACTATGATTATAATAAATCTGTATAGTGTTATATTATTCATTTATAAATAATAAACTCGTATTGCAAAGATCTCTCCATAAAGTTCAATGATTAATATGAACCATTGCACTTTACTGAGTTTAGCATTTTAATAAAATCAGTTGATTGATAATCTGGTCTCTATTTTTCTTGAAAGAGCATAAATTTATTTAATTATGATTAATTTTTCTGATTGATATTGAACGGATATAGTTGAATTATAAATGTATTGACAAGATACGATTTATTGCGTTTCCTCTGCGACATTGGATAAAAAATCATGTCACAATTAGGCTAATGTCAAATCAACATCCGTTTTTGACAATGTTATGCACGTCTTGTGGTTGAAAAACGTGAACTTAATTCACAATGTATGTCTAGTGCATCCGCAGACCACAATATTAATGCAAATATTTCATCCAGATTGGTTGTCTGTCCATCTGGATTGATCGTCTGTCCAGTCGACGTTTGTTCCAATTCAGACTCTCAATTACATTACCGGAAATTCAGCATGCCCATGTATTGCTAATGGCTTAATATACAAATACAAACAACTGCCACGACAACTTCTTGTTTTTCTTCATAGATCTTAATGACATATCGACCACAGTCAACGTGATCATTGATTAACGATGAATCATTCCTGAATCAAAGTTGAATAATAATCGTATATCAATTCATTAATTAAACTAATAAGAGATTAATTTAATATGTGTTAACATGCTAATTTATCATACGGGTTCATTATACTGTGATTTCAACAGATTGTGTATGTTTGATATTATTTTGATTACTGAATGATTCGCTGATCGGATTAAACGAATTATAAACATTTTTTTAAATTAGCATTATTTGTCTTGGTGTTGTAAACAAGCAGAAGTTATTGCATTGTTGTTTCTGATGTAATGGTTGTGTTTGCAAAATAATATTCAAATACCAAAGTATGACTTTCGTTATAAGTGAATAAAGATTCGCCTGTTTGCTTTGTTCTACGTTTATTTTCTAGAAGTCGAATGGAAGCTGCAATAAAACAAGACCATCCTTGAATTCAAATATGTAATTTACGATTTTCAATATCCGATAACATCCATTCGATTTGCTTAAATATCATAAGAACCACCTACCTTTAACACAATCTCTGGTCTGTCTGGCGATCGATTACCCAGGGAGCTCCTTGCAGATTTGGCCATGACCCGAAGACATCTTTACAATTCTTGACACTGAAGAACAACAACAATACGTTTCCCATACCGAATTATGAAAAACGCTAAACACCTCCATCCAATGCAAATATCACTCGCATTGTGTTCTGATGCTAATGTCAGAAGTTATTTAACACAATCACCAGAACTGCCGGACTCTGGTATAATTATATTGTTCATTATAATACTTTTATATTTAGTTTGTGTAAATATAAGATTATTCTTGAGCGGCCTCGAATCTTAATATAGAATGCAATGGATACAACAATGGAGTGCACCACTATAACGTGTAATTAAATTAATAAGTACTAAGAGCGAAATGTACAATCGAGGTTGCAAATAGAGCTAACTCGAATTCATACTTTTCATAGCACACGCCATAGTTATTGTTTAGAAATTATTATATACGATTCGAATGCTAAATAATTATATTGACATTAACTGATAGCATAAACAATATTAGAGCACATTTGTATCTGTTGGCTACACAAGGCGCAACGGAACATTCGCCTATTCAAATTAGGGACCGTTTAGATCTAGGCCATACATATCAATTTGTATAGCTAAATAAAAAGTTAACTAGCTGTAAGTGGAATTCTGTCTTAAGGCAATTAGGGCATCGTGCCTTAAGGCAAATTGCTGGAACTTCCCGTACCAAAAATTTTTATTTTTTTTAAAAACGATTAACATTTTTGAAAAAAATTTACTTCGAAAAAATAAGATTTTTGAGAAACTATAAATTGGACAAAAAATTACTTTTTTTGAAAAAAAAAAATTTTTTTTTTAAATTTTTTTTTAAAAAAAATTTTTTTTTATTTTTTTTTTTTTGAAAAAAAATTTTTTCTTTATTTTGACATATTTTGGAAGATCTGAACTTGTTTTTCAAAGCAATCGTACTGCTTTAACTGCATAGAGACAAAATATAAAGCGCGTAAGCGCGGCGTCGCTGTCTAACGGGTAAACATTGGTACGGAACCCATAGAAAAATAAACAAAATTTAAACTTATTGTTAAAATCTCTATAAAATATCTGAAAATTTGATGTGCATATGTCTAATGATCATTTTTGACCGCCAAATGGCATTTTTTTTTACTTTTTTCGTTAGATCTCCGAAACCGCTAGACCTGCCTTTATGAAAATTTGATCAATTCTTTATCTTGTCAATACAAGTAAAATGTTTTTTGAATTATTAAAATCGGACGCTCCGTTCTCTTAAAACCTGACTTACCGTTTTCGGCACTTTTTGCCCCGTATCTCCGGAACGGCTAGACCTGCCTTCGCCAAAAACTAATCAGCACGTCTCCTTATCAATACGAATCGAATGTTTTTTGATTTATTCAAATCGGTTGATCCGTGTTCCCGAAATCGTCGACGAAAATTTGTATCCGCACATACATACACACACATACATACATACATACACACACACACACACACACACATACACACACACACACACACACACATACATCCATTTTTTCTAAGGTATGCCAAAATGTTCAGAAACCTCTGAAACGTAAAGATATATAAAAATTTTCATTTTCGATTTTTTTGCGATTACTATAACTTACCCTACGGGAAGTTAATAAGGCGAAAATCATCTTACAATTTGAAAAGAAAATTGGTGTTATAAAATTTATAGACTGTAACTAAGATGAATTAACGACAGGTACTTGGAATTGGACATGAAATCCGGTTCGACTTAAATTACTAGGTGGAATTAGCATAACACTTTGTTCTATCGTATAACAATTCACTGGCTGGGGCAATAAACAAACACTGCGAGTCGTGCATGGACCGCGGCAATATGTGTGAGTTTGCTCCAACATAGAGGCTACTATGCAGATGTTGAACAACGAAAAACAACAATAATGAGCAACAGACAATGTACTACACGTGCCTTCACATGAAATACAGTTTTATCTTTATTAATAATAAAAATTGTTATATCAGAAACTACCGCATTAAAACCGGCATAGGGAAGTTAATGAGCACAATATACGCATAATACTCAGCTAGCATCTCTAATGCGGCCTTTACTTTTCTTGGAATACTATTTTACTATATTATGCGATACACACAAACATAATAATATAATTATATTATGATTCTATGCCATAATATCTTCTTCTATATATATAAAAATAAGTCGGGTTTTCCTTCCTGACGATATAACTCCAGAACGCACAACCGATTTCGACAACTTTGCATTCGTTGGAAAAGTCTCGGGCTCCGCAAGGTTTATAGCTAAAAAATTAGTTGTGCATGGCATCGTGCCTTAATGCAAGCTGCTGAAACTTCACGCACCGTAATTAAAAATTCGAGTAATGACATTAGTGAGAATTATCAGAATTATGCTTGGTTAAGTCAACGAGCAATTCTTGCCGCAAAGAATAATGATGTACACGCACTGAATTTCACCATTCAATCAAAAATTGCTGGCTATTTGGTGACATATCAATGATTCTGACTGGTCTTCCGTTTGACTTCAAACGATTGCAATTTCCAGTTCGCCTTGCGTTCGCAATAACAAGTCGCAAGGCCAATCGCTTAATGTTTGCGAGATAAATTTTAAATAGATTATTTAGAAAATCATTGTTTTTCACATGGGCAGTTATACGTTGCCTGTTCACGAGTTGGAAAGCCATCCGCTTTGTTTGTGTTAACGTCAGACCAAAAAACAAAAAATGTGGTTTACCAAAGAGCACTTCAATGAAACGGATAATTTGCGGATTCACTTTCATTTATTTAGAGAAGTACAACTAAAAAACACTTAATTTTTGTAATCGAAATAAATTCATTACTGTTGTATAATAAAATCAAATTTTTTCATCTTTCTCACGAAACCATCTGGTGGAGAAACGGAGTTTGTCGGGTTTGCTAGTTTATTATAATAATAGAATATATAAAATTGCATTTGCAAATTTTCAATGCATTACTCTCATACTTCCTGCCAACCGGATTCCATCTAGTAGTGTGACCGTTAATAGTAGCTTCTAGTATATGTGTGTTCTATCATCTGCGTTTGTTATAAATGAATGATGATCACAAATTAAAGCAACTAAGAAACTAATGAAATGAATCCTTGTTTGCGTTTCAGTCACTGCAAAGTGCGGCGAGGAGGGCAGGAACGTCGTGCGCCAACTGCAAGACGACCACGACCACTCTTTGGAGACGCAATCAGAACGGCGAGCCCGTTTGCAATGCGTGCGGACTCTACTACAAGTTACACAATGTAAGTAGTAAATGATAATTGTAATTGATCGATTTTAGAAATTGTATTTCATTGATTTTGTTAAATAAAACCTTGTACAATTATTGTGCGAGTGGATACCCGCAAATTGCAGAATTATACCATCGTGCATATTCACTATTTCAATAAATTGTGGTGTGTTTGATACTACGCCAATGCCTATTTGTCGATTAATATGATTATGCAAATTTGTGCAACCTGTACACAAATAATTTAGTCGTTGTTAAATATTAATTTTCAAACTAGTAATAAACTGTATAGATTCAATATGTTGGTAATATTCGAAGCTGCCAAATTTTATGTACTTATAGCAGTTGAGCAGTTCTTAAAGGGTATGAAGTCTCATCACCATTATCTCAAAATCAAGTATATTTTAACGATACTATTTTTTAACGATACTATTCTAAAGTATAGACTTTAAAATTGGGCGACGTCGCAAGATATACGGTCACATTGTCAATTTTTAACGTAGTATTTTTTGCAACTAAACCAAAGGTATAAACTATGAAATAGTAGTAAATAAAAAAGTGCAATAGAGTAAAACAGACAACAGTTTCTATCAGATTACTCTGATTATGTCAATTTGTGCAACATGTACACAATAATTAGGTGGTAATATACGAAGCTGCCAAATTTTATGTATATATATTGGATAGAGGTCAAAGGTTCGCGGGTATAAAGTTTCATCACCATCTCAAAAACAAATATATACCATATTTTTTACGATATTATTTTAAAGTAAAGGGCAAAAGATGTTTATTCAACCATCGTCCAAAATTGGGCGACGTTGCAAGATATACGGCCACATTGTCAACTTTTTAACATAGTATTTTTTCGCAAATAAACCAAAGGTATAAACTGTAAAAAGTAGTATATAGAAAGTACAATAGAGTAAAACAGACAACTGTTTAACGAGATTACTCTGATTATGTCTATTTGTGCAACCTATACACAATAATTTAGTCATTGTTAAATATTAAATTTCAAGGTTGTTATAAACTATATGCATTCAATATGTTGGTAATATTCGAAGCTGTCAACTTTATGTATTATGAGAATTATATAAATGTTATTTTATGAGAAAGAGCAATGCCTAAAGGTTTGCGGGCATCTCAAAAACAAGTATATTATGGTATTTTTGCAGTATAATTCTAAAGTACTGGGCAAAAGATGTATAACAAACTATCGCCCAAAATTGGGCGAATTTGCTATCACGAAATAAACGGCCACATTGTCAATTCTTTAACGTAGTATTTTTGGCAACTGAACCAAAGGTATAAACTATAAAATTGAGTAAATAAAAAAGTACAATAGAGTAAAATTAGCGACTGTTTTTATCAGATTTCTCTCATTATGTGATTTTGTGTAATCTGTACACAATAATTTAGTAGTAATTTACGAAGCTGACAAATTTTATGTATAGATTAGAGCAGTGCCTAAAGGTCCGCGGGCATAAAATTTCATCACCATCTCAAAAACAAGTATATTATGCTATTTTTACAGTATAATTTTAAAGTACAGGGGAAAACATGTATAACCAACTATCGCCTAAAATTGGGCGACGAGATAAATTTTGTAGAGTTTCTTAACGCAAGTAGTTTTCCCAACTAAAAAATTAAAATCAAGTAATAAAGACAATTTGAGATAAATTAAATTAATAGTTATTTCAATTCTGATGATGAGTTATTTGGACCAAGTTCCATACGAAAATATGCAGTGAGATCTTTGTGAAAAATGCCCGTGTAATATGTATTTCAAACAGAAGTTCATCTCATGTGTGATATTTTTAATTTAGGAACAATGAGTCTGATTATAATAAATTCAACAGAAATACCAACCAAAACTAGATTTTTGATAGTTGTAAGGGTTGATAAATATAATTTTAATTTTGTTGTTTAATTTAACCAAATGATTAAACTGCATAGCTATCATTGTATCAAGTAGCTATCGTTCTGTAAAATTCCTTTAAAATTAAAAATTAAATAGTAGAACTTTTTACCCCCTGGCTGTCTCTTTTTACGCCTATAGGGTAAGATAAAATAGATAAAAAAAATTTTGCAAACCAGCAAACAAAATATTCCTACAATAATAAACCTTCTGGAAATTTTGCTAAATATAGCTCGATAGTTGTCTGTTTGATACGTTCCAGGTTCCATACCTGGCTTGAAGAGCATGATTGTCAAGCAGTAGTGACATTGGTTTTTACTTGAAAATATAAATAGCAATATGTTTCATAGTGAAAATATTTTTACCCGGCATTGCTGCTTCAATATAAAAAATTGATCAGTGTAATAACAAAACTCATCATATAGAAATGGGACAACTATTTAATGAGTCGCCATCTATAAAAATCGTATCTTATACACTAATTATTCAATTCTATATTATATCATAACTCTAAGTTAAGGTGTGTTCAGTATATATTACAATTTTACATATCCTGCATTTTTAATATTTTTAGAAACTGCTGACTTTCGATTTTGGTGTCTTCTTTGTTCTAATCTGGCGCATTGCCAAAATCATGCCCGCGGCTATATCAAAGTTATTTATTGTTTTTTCCTAAAAACGTTTTGCTCTAAGTTGATTTACTCAAAACAGACTAATTAATCATTCTAATTTATACTAGTAATAAAAATCAATGGAATAAAACGTAATCTTTGATATGTAAAACAATACAAAATACCTCAAAATAATTTTACAAATTGTTCTAATTTAAATTTTAAATATCAAGATAAACTTAATGAGGCGCGTTTAAGAGTATTTTTATAAGCAAGCGAGTTCATAATTCTTGAAAACAAATTTCATTTTTGGAAGTTCGTTCAAAATTGATCAGTCGTAACAGGAATCTAAATAAGATTCATTGCGGTACTGATGAAGATGCTGTTCGGAGGAGTACGCTCAGCGGTCGAAGACAGCGAACGATCTCATCTCCAGCATTTCGCCAATTATAATTTCTAGTTAATTAATTATAAATGTAACAACACTCGGTCGTCTGTCATGGGGGGCCCACTTTACCCGTTGCAAGAGTCGCGGCAGAACAGTGCCTCCTTTGTTCCCCTTAACATCGGATTCAGCGCAACGCTTGTATTTGCTCAACCGACCGACCAGCGGACTGGCGTTCGCCTAATTTATTCACTATTATGGAATTCTTAGAAAAAAGGTAATTTATACGCGTCGCGTTGATACTCATTATTTTCATTTTGTTACTGTTATGTGCACGATTATTTGTGATGGATGCGCAAGGATCGCTGAGCCTACCACACAATGCGGTTAATCACGGCTCAGTCGGCGGACTTGAAAATTTTAGAGGGATACAAAACAACCGAAAATAATATCATAAAAATTCAATTTGACTTTTAGTATTTATACTGCTAAAACCAAACCAACTACATCACAACAAATAACACACAAACAAGACAACAATAACAACAAAAATGCAGGATATGTAAAATTGTAATATATACTGAACACACCTCAACATAGAGTTATGATATAATATATTATTGAATAATTAGTGTATAAGATACGATTTTTATAGATGGCAACCCATTAAATAGTTGTCCCATTTCTATATGATGAGTTTTGTTATTACACTGATCAATTTTTTTATTGAAGCAGCAATGCCGGGTAAAAATATTTTCACTAAAAAACATATTGCTATCTATAAATCAAGTGAAATCAAATGTCACAACAATCATGCTCTTCGGGCCGGGTATGGAACCTGGGACCTCTGATTCAAATCTTATAGTTCTAAGCACTATTTCACGGGGTAAAATACCAAATAGGATTTATAATTGTCTCTTCAAATAGAAAATAATGTATGTAGCTAAATATACAAGTTTACAAGACCGATAGAACCAATTTATTTGATTACGAACTTAGTACTGTAATAGTAAAAAATGAGTGAATATATGGATTTTATTTGATAACTAGGTATTTGCTATATTAGATAATTAGATCATAATTCGAGTAAATGTATCCGTCATCCAATATCAAGCCATTTGCAAATTCAAACCCTCTGCTCTCGCATTTCAGTGAGTTGGCCTGCGGAGTCTTTTACCATAATGTACAATTACTGCGTTTGAAATGGAATGGTGTGCGATTCGTTGGTATATTTCTTTTTCTGTTTTGTCCGTGTCTACTCTGCGTGCGTTAAACAATGGCCGTGTCTGTTTCTCTATTTCACAAAAATAAGCTGTTTTTAATGACCGGACGTCGGAAGCGATGTTGTGTAGAACGGCTGTGCCGCACATTGGGCGCATGTTGCGTTTAAATTTCAACTCTCGGTGAAAACTAACGGAAAACCATCGCGGATAATATGACGGACGCGTGTGATTTGCGCGATTATCCGTTATTTCGAAACCGCGGATTCTATTAAATCATTCCCATTGACGACTGCAGTCAGTCGCATAGAATCGACAAGATGTCTTCATTCCCTAAAACTCTGATATGTGAGAAAGATGAAGAATTTTTTGTTTGTTTTATATTTGAAAAGGAAAAATTTGATTTTATTATACAACATTAATGAATTTATTTCGATTACAAAAATGAATTGTTTTTTAGTTGAACTTCTCTAAGTAAATGAAAGTGAATCCGCAAATTATCCGTTTCATTGAAGTGCTCTTTGGTAAACCACATTTTTTGTTTTTTGGTCTGACGTTAACACAAACAAAGCGGATGGTTTTCCAACTCGTGAACAGGCAACGTATAATATGGCCATGTGAAAAACAATGATTTTCTAAATAATCTATTCGAAATTTAACCCGCAAACACTAAGCTATTGGCCTTGCGACTTGTAAATTGCCATTGCGAACTGGAAATTGCAATCGTTTGAAGTCAAACGGAAGACCAGTCAGAATCATTGGTATGTCACCAAATCGCCAGCAATTTTTGATTGAATGGTGAAATTCAGTGCGTGTACATCATATTTCTTGGCGGCAAAAATTGCTCGTAGACTTAACCAAGCATAACTCTGAAAATTTTTACTAATGTCATTACTCGAATTTTTAATTACGGTGCGTGAAGTTCCAGCAATTTGCATTAGGGCGCGATGCCTACTAATTTTCTTAGCTATAAACCTTGCGGAGCCCGAGACCTTTCCAAAGAATGCAAAATTGTCGAAATCGGTTCGTGCGTTCTGGAGTTAAATCGTCAGGAAGGAAAACCCGACTTATTTTTATATATATGTAGATTACGTGGCTGTAACTATAAAATATGATGTCGAATAGTTTTTTTAAAATTTATTTGTATTTGCATTTATATCCATTTCCTGGTGGCCTAATAAGAGTATAGAGTGCAATTCATAATTAATTCGAGTTAGATATTTATACGCAAGGCATGCGAATTTAAAGCACATAAGCGCTGGCTAATATTGGCATAAGCTTCTTGCACGTCGGTGTTTGGCCAGCCACCAATTTACTTCAGATTCCTATCGTGGATGATAGGTCCACAAATACAGAGTAAGATCGGAAAGTCTGATAGAATAAACTTAGCAGGGACTCCGACTGTGACATAGAGGAACTTGTGCTTTCTGCCCCCTAATGTCTAATATAATAATGAGTCGAGTTTAACTCGCACACATTTCAATGGGAATTCTACATACGTTGTATTATACCTTATATGAGGCAATGAGAATCTACATACAAAGTTATACAATGTTATTCCCGCCTATAAAACAGCTCGGGGTATAAAATGTATAGCAGGTACGCGACTTGTACACTAAATTAATTGATATGATTTATAACGTGTAAGAAATACGACAAGCTACAATTATTTTGCGTCTTTTATTTTCGAAATAAAACGAATGAATTAGAACCGTCGTAACCGCAGAAGTTCATACACGTATTAATTACAGTCATTAGCAATGTATAAATTTGTTGAAACGGACTTGAAGAAAATACAGAGAAATTTTATAATAACATTTAAATATAAAATATCTGAGTAAATGTTTGTGGACCATAATTATAGGTTCGATACGTTATAAAGTATCATTGTATTACGACCATGTCAACGTATGAATAGTTATTTCGCTTCAACAATTTTCAGGAGAAACTTATTCGCAAATATCAATTTCATAGCGACGGGACCTTTTTGCATAACATCCGTATACATACAAATATTGCAACAGTGCTCTTAACTAAATGCAATGGGGTCCTTATTGTGTCCTATTTTTAAATCGTATCAAATTTCACTCCCGGGCCGACTCACCTTTGTGCTTTGAGCTTTCATGAAAAGGACTCTTGAAATTGTAATGTATTTTGCAGTAAAACTTGCGACAATGTAATAATGTGTCCCCTTTTTATATTTAAAAAAATTAATGATATATGTGCCTCTGGTCCCTTCTCATTGGAACTGAGCGATCAGCACGCACCAATGACAAATCACATGGACTTCTGCGCAAGCACAATACAATAACTTCGTTTTGGATTAGCCGAAAATCCACCAGAAATCCGGGCTGGCAAGCGTTGTATTATTTTTATATTGTCTGTCCCAAATTGAATATACTTTTAAATATAGTGCACGATAGTATAACGATAAAAACTAACTAGTGGTGTATAGCATCATACTTCAAGGCAAATTCAAACTTCAAGTACCGTAATTATTTTTGTGAAAATTTTGAAAAATTAGACTTAATTTTGAATTTTTTTAAATAGTTCGATTTTTACGACAATTTTGATGTTTTTTTAATTTTATTTTAATTTTTTTTTTTTTTGAAAATTTTGAAATTCTATAAAAATTCTAATGCCATTCAAATTGGTAACCATATTCTCGAAAATGTCGAAGGCATTTGTTTGGACTATATAAGTGAACTTTAAATAACATAACTCTTGGTATAGATCCCACGGAAATGCTAACAAATATCGTACTCATTATTAAAATCTTTATGAAATTTCTGATGATTTGACGTGCATATGTCTAATAATTATTTTTGACAGCTAAATAGAATGTTTGTTTTTAAATTTTTGGATCTTCAAAACGGCCTTCCCAAAAGTTTAATCATTTCTTCATTCCGCCAGTACAAGTGAAATGTTGAATCATTCAAATCGGGTGATACGTGCTCTCGAAATTGTTGACAAATATTTGTAACCGCACATATATACATACAGACACACACAACCAAATGCATTCATTTTTTCAAAGATATTCCAAAATGTTCAGAAGGTTTTCAAACGTAAAGACATGCAAAAATAGATAAAGATTACTATAATTTACCCTACGAGAAGTTTGAAAAAAAATGAAAAGAATAAAAGCACTTTGCAATTATCTCATATTGTACTTCCAATAATATTTAATTATCTAATTAATATATTTACAATGTCGCGCATACTTCCGCATAAATCGTTTACGTAGGATTAATAAAATTATTATCCCTGAGGCTTTTGATTTTCTAACTACAATTAAAATATATAATATTAATAAATTTTGTATTAAAAACTTGTTTCATAAACAACGTTACAAGGTTAATCGTATTTCATGTTAATTAGTCAATTAGTATGTTAATTGTAAGAGCTGCAATAAAACTGAATAGCTCATGGTTGTCTGCGAATTTAAAACAACGTTGAATTTATGAACGTATAAACGGATATTTATAAACTTATTTTTAAACATTATTTTAACTGTGATCATTTATCCATTATTCGGTTTAGTAAGAAAAAAATTACAATAGATGTGCGCCTATGATCCCATACTTTGAGACATGAGACGGATCATTGATTTTATTGTTGTGCGCTGTCGGTATATTGTTATTCCTAGTGCGCATAAGTGGTTTTGAAATTGTTTCTTTATACTCCTTAAGTGGGGTCGTTCTTTTTATTTCATTCAATATGTCTCTACAATCGATGGATCCATTCAAACGTATCCCTCACACGTACGAAAATATTTTAGAGTATTAGTTGCATGATATTTACTAACGTTGCCTAAATTTTCTTTTTGCAGGTGAACAGACCGCTCACCATGAAGAAAGAAGGTATCCAGACGCGCAACCGCAAACTTAGTTCCAAATCGAAGAAAAAGAAAGGTCCATGTATGCCACTCGGAGGACATTTAGGAGGACCTTTGGGAGATCTCATAAAACCTCATGAGCAGCCTAAGCCGTTTGGATCAGGATTCGGAAGCATGGGTATGTATTATTAGACGATATATTTTATTTGTATATAATAATTGACCTAATCGTTAACTAGATAACAGTGCACACTAGGGAATGCAATACCGGTATTCCGGTATACCGAATTACCGGTAAACCGCCCGATTTTACGGCGGTATTTTTACCGGTATTTACCTCAAAAATATCGGTATTTTTACATAAGCGCTATTTGATAAATAATGCACTAAAATTTAAATTTCCGGAACAAATTTATCTTTTAATTCCATAATCGCATAAACAGCTATATCTTCAAGTGATTCTATAGGATAAACAAATGTCAAATATTATCTCAACTCGTCATTAAACTGAATATTTATTGCTTTACTAAGGGTTTCATATCGTGTTACAATAAATAGAATTGGACTGATAGATAATGATGTTTGTTTCATCTTATGTAAAAATGTAACGGTTTTTTAAGTGATATTTGCGCCAAAAATTTTTATATCATACAGATTATCTTTGCGTAATCATTATTTTTTTTCTAACTTTATATATAATAATTATGATAATTACTAAATATTTTTACTATAGAAGCATCTCATTGTTTTAAATAACAATACTCAACAATTATAGTAACTTATTATTTATCTTGACAAAGTATCCGATCTTAAATTAGTGTATAAAATTATTTTTTTAAAATATTGGAGATTATGCGAATTTAAGACATCGGATGCAGACAATACAGTTTATTAGAATAATGTAATATAATCTTTTACGAGTTTTTGGTCTTTCTTACTCATAAGTTTGTTTTTGGTGAAAAGTACTCAATATACTCGATAGTGAGAGTGAATTAATTAAATTGGATATAATTTTGTTAAATTATTATTTAAAAAAATAAACTTATTGCTTTATTTTATTGTTTAGTTGAATATAGTTGTAGTTGTATATACATTTTTTATATTTGTACTAGTAACTTTCAATTTTGTTTACGTTTGTTTAAGATAATAAAAATACCGGTAATTTACCGGTATTCCGGTTTTAAAATGAAAAATTACCGAAGTACCGGTATTGAAATTTGCGGTTAATCGGTATTGCATTCCCTAGTGCACACCCTGTATATTTCTAAATAATATATAAGGAAACTTCAATAGGATTCCATTAAGTAGGTTCATTAACCACCACATTCCATTTTTCTTCGTTCATCAGACACCGCTCTAAATGTCTAATAGTATAATTACTGGTATAAATTCCGGTCAAATCATATTTAATCAAAACAAGCCAACTCATGGCATTCATTCACTTAAGCACATGATATGAAAAGAACTCTCTTTCAGAGACGGCATCTTACGTCAATCAATCACAAGAACAACACTGACAAACCTTATAAAACACTATTAGAGGCTCGTAATAAAAGTCGAATTTGTTAAAATGGTAGTAGCTTTAAGATATTTAGTCTTCTACAGACAATACATTACTGATATCTTTTCATTTTTGAATACAAGCTTCCTATCTTGAACGTTATGAATAGTGATGACAGAATCTCTGATTAACAGCATTGATTATTCAATTATGATATTGTTACCAAACCTATAAAAAGAAATAATAATTGTACCTATATAGATTAATACAATCATAGAAACGTTTATGTAAAAATCCATTAGGTGTGCACAATAGATATATCTAGAACTTTTATCAGCCTGTCAATGGTTAGACATTTGCTATTACTTTTTATTCTTACTATTTAATTACTCAAAAGATTTTATCGCATATTCTACACCTGATTGTTAATCATTTTTTGCTAGTATAATTGCACATGTATCAATTACCATAGATGTTCAAAAAAATTTATTTATATATGGCAAGAGTTTATAAATCTTGCCCGTCAATTAGAATATTTCTCACTAAGTAGACAGTCTTTCCTGGTGCAGGTCAACACAGCCACCTCTCTCCGAGCCTGCACGCGCACGCGATGCCACATTGGTACAACATGGGCAGTGTACCGCCAGTTGGAGTCGGCGGCAGTGTCGGCGGCGTCGGATCAACCCAAGGCGGTTTCGGCGGTCCGCCAGCGCCCGCACCCTACCACCACGTCGCATCACTGGGACTGAATTCAATGGTGAGTAGTAATAGATAAACAATAATAGATTAATTTAGTCGATCATTTGTTTAACCCTTTCTGCTCAGCTATCTCTCTGAGAGGACAACATAATTTCAGCATATCACTCGGCTGTGTCCTCTGAGGCACTCTGCAGTTTTTATATATTTTACAATGATTGAGTTTGTATTCAAGCATCGAATAATAGATAAAGGATAAGCAACCCACGGTTCGTGAGCTTCATGCGGCCTTTTAACTATTTTACTTTGGCTCGCCAAGCTTTTATAAAGTAATTTATTTATTTTATCAACTTTCTTCCAATAATAAATAATTATAATATATTATTTTTTGTTGTGTTAATTTATGAAACAACTTACTTTTTTTAATTTAGTATGTATTTTTATATTGTAATATTTACTAGTATATACGTCATACAATTTTAAAAATTCAATGCACTCCGCGAGTTAAAAAGTTGCTTATTTTTTGAATAAACCTATGCAGAAAATGTTCTCTTTTCAAAATTTGCTATTATTTATTTTTACAGAGGTTTTACCCTTTTTAACATATTTTTTTTATTTCTAAATACGGTAAAACTACGAAGCAATTCGTAAAGCCACATTTTTATTAAAAAGGACAAGGTCATAAAAAACAATATCTTAGACTTTTTTATGAAATGTCACTATGTCTTTTGGAAATTGCTAAACTTTAACATTCTTCCAAAAATAAATTTTGACATTATTATAAATCTATGTTCTTCAAAGTCTACAAATTCATATAAAGCAAATTGCATAATATACTCAATAATATAAAGTATACAGCAGGTACGTTTTTGTCAGAATGCGGCACCAGTTGCTGATAGATTGTTTTTGAATAGGTGCCGAGCGGAAAGGGTTAAATCTACATGTGTGTACTTGCATGTATGAACTTTTGTGAATACATTATTAATTATTTAGTATTAAGTTTGTTGTGATTGATGAATATACTCGTCATGGTGAAGTGGCAGAACTTTGTGTATTGACTTGATACTTGACTTATTCGTAGATAACTTCGACTATCGGTTAACTAGATTACAGTTTTTTACAAAGAAACAGAACATATTCCGAATTTCAAGATATGACTGGACCTAAATCAGAGGTCCCGGGTTCGATCCCGCTTCGAAATGCTTGTTGTCAAGCAGTGGTGCAACGGTTTTCACTTGGAAATATAGAAAGCAATGTTTTTCCCATTGAAAATAGACTTCATCCGGTATTGCTTTATCATAGTAAATAAATTGTTATAATAATTCATCACATAGAGATAGGAACACTGTTTTGGTTGCCATCTGTAGAACCGACTAGAGTATTAAGGCTATTTAGCACAGCTGCTTATACGACTCTTAAGTTCTGTTTGCTGCTCAAAATAATAAATAAAAATTGAAGATATTTAAAAGATTTTGGGGCTATGCTAAAATAAAATAATAATAAAATAATAAATTTTTTTATGAATAAAAACAGTTGCAAAGTGGCATTTTATCCTAAAACGACATTGTACCTCGATTCTGACGACATAACGCATTTTACCTTAAAACAACATTTTACCTCAATTCTGACTGTTTACAATGTGGACACCAAAGTTAATGAGTAGCAAATTATTACAAATTACTAGTATCTCAATGTTTGAGGCAAGTTGTTTATATTATAAAAGATTATTCTCCCGTCCCCGCCGTCCGGCATCAGCACCGCATGAATATAATAATTTCAACGTTTCTGCAATGCAGAAATAAAAAGTGTCGATAATTAGCGTGTACGCCGTACAATAAATTATGAGATGGAATAAATTATCTTGATCATCTACGCTTTAGCAGAGTCCATGCAGACTTCTTGAATCCTGATACGAATCTCGTTTAAACACAGAAATAGAAATCGCAACTAGACGCGCGACTGTTTCACTGTTTCACTGTTTCACTTGACCCGGTTCAAATGAACCGAACGTGTCACGAAGGTTATTATTATTGGATGGTTATACCGACATGAAGACACAACGGTAATTATTCCTAGTTGTGGACATTAACAATAACTATATTCAATTCGATCGAAATCATATCATATATCTTGATATTGAAAAATCATAAAAAATGCAGTAATTACATTTTGAATGCGTCGGTTTCGCTAGGGCTCCGATACACACGGACGTTTTGAGCAATTTATTTTATATTAACCAGTTTAATGTGGCGCACTCATCGAACGGTCAAATCGAATCCATGGCGTATACTCGTCATCACAGAGTAAGTTGCGTCGGTAAGATCTTTGATGAAAAATATGGGTTTATTTCACAAAATTTTTATTACTACATTTTACTTCTTTTTCAACATACACATTCGTATTAAACTAAAAATGGAAACAAATCAATGAAATATTATACCTTATTATAATAATAATTATAATAATGTTCAGTAGTAGGACCAAAGGCAAGTTCATGGTGTGGATGCATCAAAACTCAACGATTTCCTTTCCCTCCTTTGTTTATTATTTCCATTGCCATTTTATTGCCATTATTCACTTATATGTATTTTTTTCCAAACTTCTGCTTTTATTTTTCTTGGCCCTGTGCTTTTCCTTTCAGTTCCCTGTATTTTTTCTTCTCGCGTAAGTCATCAATCATCTGCATTTTTCTTCTTCATATAGAAGTTACTATTTTTGCAGCATGTGTCTGATCCAGTTTTCTTCTCAGTACATTTTTATTGGTTACCTCCTTTGTTCACTTTATTTTCTCCATTATATTATAAGGTATAAGTAAGAATTCAAATTTTTGCTGCGTGGTGAAACTAACATTATCAAAAATTACCGGTCTGCGAAAAGTATTTGAATCTTAAAAAATCATTAATTTTCGGAATAGTAATCATTAAGTAGATATATTCCGCTCTATGTTTTGTACTGATTACCGTTGATTGGTATACTCTTCCACATCTTGGGAAGTTAATGCAACTTGCTTCAAGGTAAAATGCCACTTAGAGGGCGTCCCGTAATCACGTGATCGATTTTTTAAGGATTTTTGGACTCCCCTCCCCAATGGTGTATTTTTAGTCACGAGAAAAAACATCGGATTAAAAATTCACGTGATATCTTACTATACTCTTCCCGCCCCCACGTGATATTTCGTAATTTTTTGTCAAAGCCTTCCTCCATCTAAAAACTTCACGTGATTAATGGACGCCCCTTACGACTACTTATTTTATATATATTCTAAACAACTTGGCATTCCTGAATATATTTTGTTTTTTTTCTAATTGTTGCAATTTAAATAGCAGATGATCACTTGATTTATACGCATGACGAGTATTCTCGTCAATTTACAAAACTCTCCCACTTCTCCATGACGAGGTGGTATTGCTAGTAGTGGTATTTCTGTCAATCACACTTGTAAACTAGTTTAAAGTTATTCTAGTGTCGCATATTATATCAAATAATCTTTTATAATATTTAACAAAATTTTTCTTTCTATTTCAGAGCGGATGGCGGTCAGAGTACACGTGATTCTCTAAATACTAAGCAACTAATTTAACGTCTAATCCTGTGAATATGTATATAAACAATTTGTAACAGTACAAAAAGAGTTCCCAATTACGTTTGTATAAAATTTAAATATAATCATATATAGAAAAAAAAGATTGAAAAAAACGAAAAAAATAATCAACAAATTCATGCAATTAAGAACGAATGGAAGAGATCGAATATAATTATGAAACAAGTCGAATCCCGATGTTCGTCTGCCCAGTCTAGTCTCCGCGTCTCTTTTAGTGGACCGAGCGATACCACCTGGATAGTGGTCTTAGAAAATATACAGAATATTTAGATATATCATTAAATAAATGTATTAAATTATAACTAAAGTTAAATGACTATGTAATTAAATCAGCATAATGATTCCGAGTGTTTGTATTTTGTAAATATTTAAACTTAAGTAAAAAAATCATTTATTAGTTTCATTTAATTATATGTGCATGTGTATATATTTATATATGTATATACAGGTATGTACGACCAATATATGTATATATGTATATCCAGTGTGTCTGCAAATATATATACTATTATTTAAATATTTGAATTCTATGATAAAAAATGGGTGATAAATAAAACATTACCTGATCCCACCACTTAGTAAAAATAGTATTTAAAAATGTGCAATTTTCCTTTAATTTACATTGTGTATTAAAATCTAGATTTTAATTTTATTCGAGTGATGCATCCTATGTTTCTGCACACTGAAGGCCTGATTATTTAGTTCACTTACACATGTTACAGAATGTTAATTCAAGTGATTTTTTTAATTAGAAATTATAAGCGACCAATTACAAGATAATTATTTAAAAACAAAAGTAAATAAAATTTGTAATTAATTGTAAATAGTTGAGAAATAAATTAATTGTTAAATAAATTTGTTCATAAGGTATTGTATACTACAATGAATGCATACACAGTTGCCATACGGTTTTATCTTTTTTAATATTATAAAAACAAAATATTATGTAAATAGTCTTATTTTTCGTCTGAGTTCGTATTACGATTAGAATATAACAGATATAAATTGATTAATGTCTGAATGTTTCAATGTAATATTGTACATGCGAAGTGATTTCATTCACACAAAATAAATATATAAAATATAACATATGCTTTTCATTTTCACTCAATACACATACTTCATTCCTCCAAATTTATTTCAGGCATGAAGAAGACCAAAATAAGTTAGTAAAAAAAATGTTTATATTTTTTAACGGGCCCAGCGGTGGCGTAATCGATTCGGACGTAGCACTTACTGCTCCTGCGTTCGCTTGTTCGATTTCCGCCACGGCCAAAGCCCGACATCAGACAGCATCGATGTCAAATTTTCACAATCAGAACTAATGTTCTATTAGCTGTGTTTGCTATCGTACATCCCAACCTGGTGTATTTCTCAAGAGGGCAACCCACTGGTCAACCATTCTTCTTTTGTGTAGACTATAGGTATGTATTATATAATAATAAATGGTGTGAGTGGCCGACTTTTGGTACTTCTATTTCACCTATGACGACGTCGTATAGGAGGCACTTTCTTTGCAGACCAGTTTCTTTTCCAGTCCAATCCAGTTTCCAATTTTTGCAGGTCCAATTCAGTTTTCTTTCCTTTTCAGAATTGGGTTTCATAAAAATTTTACATATTTATTATATATATGTATAATAGTGTTTGCGTATATGTTACTTAATGCAATTTTTACTCGAAATTATATATGCTATCTACCTATTCTACTTTCACTAGAAAATTTGTTATCATACTGCTTGATATCAAACCCGCAACTAGCTCGTGCTAGCCCACGTTCTTACACGACAGACATTTAAAATAAAAAGTAATGCTTAAGTGTTTGAATACATAGTTTGTTTATTTATAAAAGACCCAGAAAGTGTGTACTTTTAAATTTGGCGCAACAAATAGTCACGAAAATTGTTCATAGTAATTTTATCAGTGTATAGGGCAACACTGACAATGCAGATCGTCCTCAATGCAATAACCACGTGCACAGTTCATGTTACCTGTTGTGGCAAACACTAGCCTAACCTAATATCCCAATTCATCTAAAGATCCAATAATATAAATCTGTATGTTTGCACATTGTTTATACCGCGATGCACGGCGTTTACCATTATATTCGTACGCAACCTTCAATTAGTGTTACGTAAAGAATATAATTAAAACCATAAAATATAATTTAATGAATTTATTAATATGAAATCCTGTATTTTGTAAGAGCGCACGTGATGACTCATGAAAGCCGTCATGAATATTCATGCGATCGGGGTACCAGAACCTCGCAGAGCGGACCAAATACTGAAAATATTATAATCGCTCTCAGGGACAATGAAGGGAATGGGTCGAATGCGAAGTTTTTGGTTTATGGACTTAAGTAAAAAATTGAATAAATAAGAAATGTTAGTGATGTGGTGTAAGTGACCGATTGAATCCTGTGATGTGATTGTGGGATTAAGACGTAAATCCATGGTGAGTGATGGAGTGGAGAAAAAGACAAGGGGCTCTGTGCTGGTGGCGTGGAAGTTTTGAGGTTGAGGTTAATATTAATTATATATATATATATATATATATATATATATATTTGTGTGTGTGTGTGTAACTGTGTATACATTACTCGTATATTATATAATTTTATTCCACTATTTTTTCCTGATTCGAGTTGGATTTAACTCCGCTCACAGACCTGCCATAGGGCACCCATCATTATTGTTAATATATTTATATTGAGTTCTTTTTTTTTTTAAATTCATGAGATATTATTTAGTGCTATACGAAGTGCTTTTTTAGTCATGCAGATAAATATTTGTTAGTAAAATTTTTTATATTTAAAAAAAAATTAACACTAATATGATAAAATTTATTTTATATTATTACTCTTTATCTCAAATGAAATTTTGTTCATATAAGAATATATCATATGAATTTTAATTTAAATTAATAATTTAGTAATAATACTATATTAAGACGTTCAAAAAAAAAATTTTAAATATCAAGTACATTAAAAATTAATACACAAAAATGTTTATCTGCAATTTTTATGTATTTACTCATGCGATGAATTTTTTTTATATCACATGTAAGATATTTAAAACTTTGACTCGAAAAGAATACAAAATAGCAATAAAAAACGTAAATAACTACTTTAAATTCCTTTTAAATATTTTTTAAAAATACATTTATTTTCTTGTTACTATTTTATATTTCTTGGTCGAACGACAACACTATGCATACATTTTCAATTTATATAAATATCAAACTAATTAAATTTAAACATACATGCAGTTATTAAAATACAACTAAATTATGTTTATAATAATTTTTATTGGAATTCCATACGTTTCGTGGACCATTTTGACCATTCTTCAGTGGAACTTTAATGGAAGTTTTTAAACATATTTGAAGCATAATTTAGTTTTACTTTGATAATTGGATAGATGTTTTGAATTTGATGTTGTTACAAAATATATGAATCAAATTTAAAGATCGGGTGTTAAAAAAAAATATGAATTTTTGTAAGTTTATTTAATATCCATTCGTTTTGGCTATCAGCCTGGCTACCAAATTTTTTTTCTGATAATTTTGCTATCAAAGATGAAAAACGCTCTGTTCGTCCTGTTGAAGTTGAATATAAATGAATGGTCTACTTTGAACTGTACTTACCAACCCCAATGCTTAATTCTGATGTCTACTTTAAACAACTAACGAAATCAAGTAATGCAGTTAAAAAAACGGCCTAAATTGACAAACCGAAACGGTAATTTATTCCATTGTTGACATCATATATCTTTGACCACTCGGCAAAATTTTTGGAGCTTGGTTGGGATGATATGCCGCATCCCCCGTATACCTTACACCATATAATTACTTTTTGTTTTGGTCTTAAAAAATTCTTTGAATTTAAGAAAAATCAATATTGTTGATAGTGTCAAATTGTACCTTTTTGCTAATAAAAACCAGAAGTTTTGTGAAAGTGGGAAAGTGATCCTGCTTGAAGGATGACAAAAGGTCAGTAATCAAAATGAACAATGCATTTCAGAATAGGGTTATTTAGTTTTTTAAAAAAATATCTTAGTTTTCTAACAAAAAATCCACACTTACTTTGGCAACTGGATATGTACACGGATTAATTATTGTCCACTGAATGTGAAAATAATTCATACTAGATGTAACGCCCAATTTTTGAATTCAACTCTTGAATATATTTACTTAATTTATATATGGATATATATATACATACAAAGTATGTGACTGTTTTTTGTAGATCCATCCCAAATAATTGAATGTATTAACACTTACGGGACGGCATCGATTTCAAAACAATCTACTGTACCGGTTGTAAACTTGATTTCATTGTGAATGTTATGCAATTTGTTTGATAAAAATTTGTGGTCATTGAAGGACATACATTTATAATATTAATTTATTTTTGATTATTTTATAAAGAATGGTGACGTTCAAAACAATTTCCAAAATGCATAGCTGGTTGATTTTAACATGTTTTACAATAAAATGTTGTTCGCCGCCTTCTCCTGGTGATTTTCTGTCAGAACAGACAATACAATCCCATTTTCTTTCTCTCGCATTTAGAATATGTCACTGATTAGTCAGTATATTTGTTCATTTTTGTGCTGCCATAATGGTTTGTTTTTTTCTATTATATTGTCTAATAGTTCATTTGTAAAATATAAAGTAAAATAATCTATTGGATGTCTATTATATATCTAGATTGGTATTTGTAGTCGGGGTGTTTGTTGATGTATGCCAAACTCGATTATTGAAGGAGAATCGGCACATTCGCTAATGTCTTTCCGCTCTTCATTTAATTTGTCGAACTTTTTTTTTTATTGGTTGGATAATATCATCATCACATTTATCACTATCTTCGGTGCGAATAGTAATTTCGCAAAATTTGTCTGTATGAATGTCTATTTGAAACTCATCTTCACTATTGCTTAATTCACAAAATTTACCAGTCGTTTTGCCATGTTTAAAAGTGCTCGGTTGTTTTAAATATTGAAAAAAATACTATATAGCAAAGAAAAAAGGCTAAAAATACTACTGAAATAACTCAATTATTTTCAAAATACAACACTGTTTATCACTGCTATATGTAATTTGTTCAACTTTTCGATGCAAACTGAGTCATTGTTTATAAAATAGCCGGTGCCTCAC